TTAGTAATATCTGAATTTACCATTGCATATGCTCAAACCAAACGAAAGCTTTTCTTATATAATTATGATATTTAAATTATATCAAAGTGAAGATATAATTGAGTTACTTGAAACAGACGATAATTACTTGGTCAAACAATCCTCAGAGTTGACCAAAGTTTATTTTGAAATGGTTTAAGTATCAATCTACGATACATTTTGACCGTTTCTTTTATTAATATTCTTTTCCTGGTCAACCCTTCTCCTTTTAAAAAAATATAAATAGATAAAAGAATTTAATATACATAAAAAAATAGAATTATACGAATTTATATATTCATTGATGTGTATACGTCAATGAATTTTAATGAGTATATATATATATATATATATAATTGTATACATAGTAGATATGTATTAATGATGAATATATTAATTGATAATATTAATAGCGTTTATGCATTAGTGATTATACATATTCTAATAGTTCTCAAATAATTTGTGGTTCTCGGTTTCCACATGAACTTGAGCCTTCATGTACGTATGTATGTATGTATGTACACATACTTGGGATCGTACACCAATTTTATCCTTTGTGAGAATAGTGAGAACCACCTCATAGGCTTCAAATGGTTTTTGTTGTTGGATCTAACGCCTCACAGAAACGTTGTGCTAGATATGTAAATAAACAGAACTTCGATGGCGTGGATGTAGGCGGACACGGACCTTAATGTACCTTCACATCAAAATTGTACCATATCTTGATAATAAAAACACTGAACCTTAGCATACCTTGACTGACCTTAACAAATTTTAGCAAACATGAACATACCTAAACATGAAAACCTTAATATAAAAATATTAACATACCATAACATGAAAACTTTAACATGAAATTTTAATATACCTTAACATGAAAAAACAATGAATGTTAACATGTCTTAACAAACCTTAAGACCAAAATGTCCATCCTTTACAAAAAAAAATGCACGTTCTTGGTCGTTGGATCAAAGAAAAAATGAGCTCTTAGTCTGCGTATGGTATATGGGACAGGACATGACAAAACTCATTGTCCCACGTTTGGCGCAACATGAGATAGAACAAGAAACTACTATCCTATGTTTGGCGCGACATGTGACAGGGACAAGAATTGGGACAAGGTAAGACAGCATGGGACAAAAGAAATTATTTTTTGTTCCATCAAAATAGGTGGAAAAAGATTGGACAAGAACGAGATAGAAACTAAAATATTAGTAATTTATCCTAGTTTGATATATAACCTTAATATAGTATTTATCTTAATGGTCATCACCATTAGTTTCAACCGCCACCAGCAGTCATTGTTGGCCACCTCCAACTCCTCCTTTACTACAACAACCTCCTCTGCCACCTCCACAACCACCGTCGACCACCTACTACGATGTTCATTGCCACCTCTACAACCACCATCGACCACCACCGTCCATTGTCACCTCTGCAACCACCATCAGCCACCAACCGCCACCATCTATTGCGACCAATACTACCACCGTTGGCCACCTCTAACTCTTCCTCTACCGCAATAACCTCCACAACCACCACCGACCACCACTGTCCATTGCCACCAATACAACCACCATCGACCATCGACCACCACCGTCTATTGTCACCTCACCTCCACCATAACCACCACCACCACCACTACCACTAACTTCACTACATTGGCCATAACTACCTCCTCCACCATTGCCAATCACCACCACCACCATAATCCACCATCTTTATGTCTTTCACAACCTTTGTCCACCAACAACCACTGTCTCTGCCTCCATAACCACCGCAGCCATCGACCACCACCACCCATCACCACTATTACTGTCGACATCCATCATAACCAACACCACCTCCACCACCTCCACTACCATTGCTACTACCATCAATTATATCAAAATTTTCATTAAAATTTGGTACCATTATATATGTATGTATTTATATGAAAATTGTGTAAAAATATTTATAAATTAAGTTCTTTAATTATTTACTGTATTTGTGTTAATTATAACTATTACATAATATTTATAAGACCAAACTGTTGTGTGATCTACATAAAAATGTTGAAATAAGTTTCTAGGACGTTTTTGGATTTCAACAAGTTTTTTTGGATGTTTTAAAATAAAGTGTTGTATTAACTTTTTTACCAGACATCAAAAATAGGATATGTGTTTTTACAAGATACATTTTCAAATAATGTAATATAAAGAAATTAAGCACGTTAGCGTCCTAAAAATCGCTAAAACCCCAAAAACTTGCTAATAACTTATTATAACGCTTTTACATAGGACAAACAATTATTTTGTTGATCATCTCTCTCAGTGATTTGATGATAATCCTTTTTTCCTTTCACGTTGTATTTATGTCTCTGTATTTTCAGTTCCAGCGATCATCACTGAGTATGTTCAGTGATCGCTGAAGAACTTGCATTGTAAATTCATCAGAGACAAACAATACT